CCCCATGAAATATTTAGGCTTCTGGACTCTGCTCATCCCATCTTGTCCTCCTCAGCAAGTGCACTTCCCCTACATGATTTATGGCTGTCCCCTTTCGTCTTCTTCCAGGCCTGCAGAGGAGGGAAAACCCAGTCCCCAGATTGGAGAAGGGTATGTCCCGAACCCCTACCCCCGTGGGCAGGGGCAGGATCCAAGCCTAACCTCCTATTCCATACTCATCCCCCACAACGGGGACACCCACCCATAGAGGGGAGCCTTGAGAGAAAGGTCATGGGGCTGAGTCTAGGAACTGAGAGGTAATTTAGGGGCCGCAATAATGGGGAAGCAGAAGAAGGAGAAGGGAAGGAAAGATGCACACGTCCTGGTTCCCAAAGGCCTGGGAAAGGAAAGGAGCTGGCGACTGAGGATAAAAGCTGCGTTCATTGAGCACTTAGTAACTTACCGTGCTAAGAAGTTCACATGCATCATCCTCTTAAATCCACACTACAAAGTTAGGGTCTATTATCCCCATCTCATAGCTAGAGAAACTGCTGCTCAGAGAGGTTAAGTTACTTGTCCAAGGCAATCCAGACAGTCCAGCTCCAGAGGCCAAGCTCCACATACTCCAGAGATGTGATGACACTTGGTTAGGGGAGGGAGGTGGGAACAGAGGTGGGTGTGTGTCTGTTGGGGGGAAGTCATGCCTGGGCAGTGTCTGCCCCCTTCCCTCTTCCTCCCAAAAGATGAGGCAGCTCTCAGTATAATCCGGCCCCCCCTGCCTCTCCTCCACTCCAAAGTGGATCAGCCCCAGCCAGCACTCCAAAATCTTCAGCTGTTTATGAGGCAAACATTGTTGGCCAGAGATTGGGAGACCCTGAAGAAGGGGGGAAAGAAAGATGAAGAGACAGAGAAGGAGAGAAGGAGAGAGAGTAAGAGAGAGCTAGAGGAAGAGACAGACACTGAGCACAAGGCAGGTGTGTGTGATGGAACACAAGTGACAGCTGGGCGGGGGTATTAGAGTGACCCACAGCCTGGACAGTTATAGCCCAGGCCATCCACTGGATGGTGACAGAAAGGATGGAAGGTGATAGAAGGAACTCCCACTCCCCACCCCCACTCAGCTCCCTTTCCTCCCGCCCTTCCCCCTTCACACCCCAGCTTCTCCTTCCCCTCCCCCACTGTCTTCTCCAGAACAATTCTAATTAGACTAAGTGACTAAGAGCTGGTTTCGGCCTGAACAGCCAATTAGGCCAGGAAGAAGGGAAAGTAGCTCCCCTAAGTCTCGCATCCCTACCCACACACCTCCTCTGCCTTTGACCCAGACCAAGTATTCTTAGTCCAAAACTCCAGACTCACTCAAGTTCCCCTGGTCCTGCTCCTCCCTCACTGCCCACTGGGCCCCTATGACCTGTGTCCAGACAGCCCTCAGCCCACTGCTTACTGCCCACCTTGAGGTCCTCCATTCTTGAGGCCCTGAGTCCATTCGAGTCTTCCTGGCAATGGGTGCAAGGAAAGAGAGGGGGCCTCCTTGGGAGGCTAGCTTTCTGAGTCTCTTTATTTCTGATGCTGCTCCTCTCTCTCTTTTTCCCTTCCTCTGGCACTTATTTCTAACATCCATGGACCAGGCCTTCTGGTTGCCATGGAGACATAATGTGCAGCTGGATGTGAGCGGGTGAGAGGAGCTGTGTGCGCTGTGCGGCACGGGTGGCTGTGTGTGAAACGTATCCACGTGTAAGGAAGCTTTCCTCAAGGTCTCCCTGAAGTGAGATCCCAGCTGAGGGGGAGACTCCAGAGGGCCCTAGTGACCCTCAACTACTGCAGGTCACATACTAAATCATGTTCAATCCAGGCTCTTAATCAACAGATTCTGGGCGGGTGCCCAAGCTGCCCCTCCTGTCCAAGGAGAGGATTGGGAACCCCAGGAAAGGAACAGAAGTGGGCAGAGATCCTTTCCTGTATAGAACAGCTGGAGGGAAGATTAAGCTGTGCAGATGGGCAGGCTGAGAAGAGGCCAAAAGCACCCCCCTCACAACACACTCCAGGGGCTCGGGGTGGGGAGGTTGACCCAGCAAGCCGTAAATTCCCCTCCATTTGTTTACTTCCCCTAGTATTTATCCAGGAGGTGGTGAGAAGTCAGAGACCTAGGTTCCTGCCCTCAGGAAGCCTAGCATCTTAGAGGAATCATGCTAACTTCCTTATTGTCTCCCATCTCGGGGCATTGGCAGCTGCAGTTTTCTGTACCTGGAATACTCTGTCCTGAGCTCTAAATCTTCAGGTTCCCTTAGAGAAGCTGCCTGGGCCACACTGAGTAAGGCAGCCCCCTTCTCTCCCCCACCTCCAGTTATCCTCCTTTGTGTCCCACTGTTTGTTTCCTTCACAGCGCTTTAACACAACCTATAATTACCTCATTTGTTTGTTTATTGTCTGTCTTCTCCACTGGAATGGAAGTTCTAAGAGACAGTAGGGACCATGCCTGTCTAATTCAGTGCTGTAACGCCAGCAGCTGGCACAGAGCCTGCCCCATAGTAGGTGTTAAATAAAAGAGTGGACACATGATTTCATTGAAGCCCCACAATGATCCTCTGTGATGGTAAGCATTATTAGCTCCATTTTACAGATGAAGAAACCAAGGCACAGTTACCTGCCCAAGCTCATACCAGTAGGAAGTGCTACAGATTTCTAATGTAGGTCTCTCTAACTCCAGGTGTGATGGAAGGATGTGGGGACCGAATTTCCTAATATACACTGTACCCTGGTTCCTCTTCCTTACTGTCTGTAGGTATATGCCTCCACCTCCAACCCAGGCTCTCCAGAGAAACCTCAGCGAGAAGGCAAGAGGACAGTTAGAATCTGTAAAGAACATAAATCTGACCTTTTCTTTTAGAGGCTTAGAATCCCTCAGTGGCTCCCTTTCCTTCCTTAGGTTGACCAGTAGGCCCTGCTAGCTCTGGCCCCTGCCTTCCTCTTCAACTTCTCCTGCCCTCCTGAACTACCTCACCTTCTCCTTCTGTACCTCCAGGCCCTTACACACACTGCTCCATCAGCCTGGGATGCAGACCCCTTCCTCAGTGGGCCCTTCCCCATCTGCCCTTTAGAACTCAGCTCTGGTGCCACCTCTTCCAGGAAGCCTGCTGGACGGTGCTGGAGGAGACACCTCCTTTGGCTCTCTAGCCTGAATTTACGGCTCAGGGCAGGGCTGAACACGATGTGGTCATTGTTTACCTGTCTGCCTCTCCCATAGAGACCGTGAAATGTTTGTGGTATGAATGAACCAACCAGGGACAGGATTCTAGTACTCTAGTCCCTTGACCCCTGATATCATTGCCAGGGCTTGACCTCAACAGGAGGAGCTCCTCACCCCTCACTGTCTGGCCAAGTCAGGGGCGGAGATGACATGGGGCCCTCCTGCTGACTCAGTGCCTCCTGTGATGAGGAGGTGAAGCCTCAAGGTTAGGGGCAGGTCTCCCTTGCCACAAGTAGAGGGAGGGCTGTTGATTCTGTAACTGGAGGATCGGTGGGGAGCACGGAGGAGTTGCACACTGAGCCAGGGAGCTGACCTCACCCCTTGTGGATTCAGAGGCTGTCAGAGGGGCTTCTGCCCTTCCTTTCAGGTGCCCACCCCCCCCACCCACCGCCAGGCTCTCTGGGGCGCGACTGATCCAGGCCTGATCTTGGCAGTGTCTTCACGCTGCCCCCCACCCCCGCCGGCCCCCACCTCTTCCGCACAGCAGATACAACCAACTTGTCTCCGACTGTAGCGAGGGGACGTGGGGAGGGTCCAGGCCCTAAGAAGCCCGGAGTATGGGAATGGATAAAGGGGCCCCCACGACCCCCGCCGTACCGGCGGTCGATCGGGGTTTACACGGAGGCTCATCCAGGATTAGTCCCTGCTCTCGACTAATCCCAGCAGCTGAACCAACCCCGGGGTCCGGGAGCCAGGCCCACGCTGCGCGAGACGGGGTAGACGGCGCGCGGGCTGAGCGGAAGCGCACGCGGAGGGAGGGGCGCCCCGGGAGGCGGGGCCGGGAAACCGGCTGATCCGGTCTCTGTTCTACGACCTCTCCGGAGCCGGTGTTTACCCGGGAGCCGGACTGAGGAGGCCGGGGCCGCTCGGGCCCGGAAGCAGGGGAGGGGAGCGCAGTCGTGGACGGGGGCTGAGACCTTTTCGGGTCCCCGTACATCGACTTCCAACCCTCGTTCCTGAGCGTGAGAGGGAGCGACAGACAGATGTCTCCCGTCCCTTCTCCTATCCAGTTCCACGATTCAAACTCGTTGCTGAATGAGGGGTGCGTGAACGGATACATGCCCCCTGGAAGAAGGCAGCGCAGCTTAACCCTCCGCAGCGCGGCGCGCCCCCCAAGCCTAACCCCTAGCCTGCATGTCAGCTCCGGTGGGAATGGGGTTGCCGGGAGCGGATCGGGCCCAGCGGATGGCACGGGGGCCACTTTGAGGCGTATGAAGTAGATGTCTGTCCTCAGTGTCCGTCCTCTTGCCCCCATCCCTGCGTGGAACCGATTAATCCCAGTATGGGTTTCGATCCCTCTTCTCCCGTCCGCGTCCCCCGGCCCCCCTCCAAGGTCTCTACCCCAGACTTAGCCTCCACTCTCCCCGGGACGCAGGCCCGAGGGCCCAGAAGAAGCCAAGTGGGGTCCGGTTTTCACACTTTTATTGTAAAGCTCGGGAATAATTACACGGGTCTTTCATTGACAGCTCAGCAAACAAACCGGAAACGAACCGAACCGGAGGGGTAGGGGAGGTGCCTGCGCATGCTCGCGGCGGGGTTGGGGGGGGCGGGGGTGGTCAGAGAAAGAGAAAGACAGAGACAGAAATCATTACAAATCGACGGGATTGTGCTCGCAGCGCCAGGGACGGGGGTGGAGTGGGGGCGGGACGGGAGCCCTTCCCGGGAGGAGCGAGGCGGTGGGAAGTGGCACGAACCAAGAGAAACACGACCCCAGTGTGGGCATCCGATGCGCCCAAAACCCCCCTCCCCGACCCCCGCCCCCCAACACACGAGAGAGACACGGCCCCCCTCCCCACTCAGATAACCCGAGGAGACACAGTCTCCCCCTCCCCACAGGCAGACACACCGCCGGGGAACCCCATGGGCGAGACACAGTCCCCCCTCCCAGAGAAGTCCCGCGTGGAGACGCCCCCTAAGAGGCTTTCTCTTGGCCAAAACAGGCCAACCAAACACCAGGAGACGGCCCCCACACAGGGAAGAAATGGCTCCAGAGGCCGGGCCCTCAGGAGAGAGAGGTATCCCAGAGCCCCTGGGAGAAAAGACAGCTCAGAGCTGCCCAGTCTCATCCGAAGTGCTGCAGGTCAGAGACACCCCTGGGGGAGAGGTGCAGGGAGGGCCAGAAACATCTCTTCCCAGACATGCTTCAGAGATAGCCCCCTTCCCTGGGAAGAGAGATGGCCCAAGACTGACATGCCTTAAGTACTCCGAGAAACCCTGGGAGGACAACAGGCTCCCCAGAGAGCCTGGGTAGCGGGGGAGACATGCTCCCATGGTCCCCAGCGGGAATACATGTCCCCCCCACCCAGAGACTCCCAAGGGGAGAGATAGGGCCTAGGGAGCCCCCAGAGGTGAGGGATGCCCCAGAGACCCTCCCCCGAGGATGTGAGACACGCTTCAGGGACCCTAGGAGAGAAGTATGTCCCCATATACCCTCCCCCTACCAAGAGACATGCTCTGAAGTAGGGGGTAGGGACAGACTAGGTCCCCTCTAGGAAGACACTGACTGGGTCAGGCTGGGTTTGAGCGGGGTCTCCTCTGGCCAAATGTCGCCTATTTGTACATAAAACTGTACGCGACACAAGGCATTGGGGAAGGGCTTCACAGACCTAGGACCAACAGGCATGGTCCCCAGTGCTGTCACCCATCCCCTGCCCACCTTTGGTTTCACCTCTCAAGTGCCCAGGTGGTGACAGACTCAGTGCCCCAACCCCAGCCAGGGGGCTAGGGTCTCTGCCTTTGCCTGTGGGAAGGGCTCCTCCTCTGTGCTTCTCAGCCCTCCCAGCCACCTGGGCCACCCCCTTCCTTCTGGCTTCTCCATTGTGCAAAATGCTCCTCTGCCCTTCCACCTAGTGCGCAGGGGTCTCCGAGACCAGGCCAGGGTGCCCAGGCCACCAGGGGCTTCCAGGGGCAGTCCACTGACCCCAGGAATGCCTCCTGTCTGGACCACCCTCTCCACCAAGCAAATGGGCCTCGTACAATCTTCTTGCCAGAATCTTGACCCCCAGGACCCAGGACAGCCCTCGAGGCCACTGACCCACCAGCGGGGCACCTCAGGTTACCAACTGCACCACTATTGCACCTGCCCCGTTTGTGCAGGGGGAAGGGGCTGTCTCTTTAACAAGCCCCAGCCCACTTCCTGGGCCTCCCCCAGGGAAAGGAGCCTTTGGCCAATCCCTAGACCTGGTTGCTGCCACCCCAGGCCACTCTACACCACCCCCCTCCACCCTCCACTGAAGGGCTGTGTATGCTGGGGCCACGAGCCTAACAATGCTCTCCTTCCCAGCACTGTTACCCCAAGCCAAGCTAGGGGCAAGGAGCAGAGAACAAGGTGATTCTTCAGCCCCCTGGCTTTCAGGGGTGGAGGTGGGGTCTCTGGGGTTACAGGAGTCAAGACTCCAGCAGCACAGCTCCCAAAGGCACCAGACGACCCAGCAGCCTGTACCCACCCCTCCCACCCTTGGGCCGCGCCCCCAAGCTTAGACTAAGTCAAGCAAGGGCCATACCCTGAGTCTCCAGCCTCCCAGCCTGGGCCCCTGGGGAGCCGGAGAGGTATGGGCCAAGGCAGTGGGGGTTTGTGGAAGGAAGAGGGGCTGAGGCTTTGAGATGGCCACAGTGGGAGATGGGGCCTCTGCAGGATGCCCCTCACACCCTGGCCCCCTGAGGTGAAGAAAAGAATCCCACCTCATCATGGCTGACTGGGCTTCTCTGCCCCCCGATCCCCCCACGCCACGGGACCCCTGACCCTGGCAAAGGGAAGCCCAACTGGAAGAAGGGGGCCTGGAGCCCAGGGTGCCCTGAGGCAGCCCTTCCCACCCCCTGAGATCAAGGCAATGGTGGTTTTACAGGCTGACGGGTCAGTCATGGCAGGGGCTTGGGGGGGGGGGTGCAGAGCGGAGAGGGGGCAGGGTGCAGGTATCCCCCGTTGGGGGCAGCAACCAGCCACCCCCTGAGCAAACCTTCCTGCTCCCAACTCACCCAACCAGGCCAGAGGCACAGTCTCCCCACCCCCGGCCAGCTGCCCCCCACAGCCTCAGGGCCCCTCCGTGATGCTCGTCTGGATGTGGGGGCCAGCCTGAGCAGGGGTCCCCCCCACCCCAGGGCACAGCGCAACAGTTCCAAAAAAATAGAGATTTGTATTCTTAAAAAAAATTAAATAAAAGCCCAGCTCTGCTGATAGGCGAGTGTTCCCCCATCCCCACCCCCACCCCCCTTGTTTCCCTGGCCTGCACCCCCATCCTGCCACAGCCCCAGGGGTATTTACAACATGGAACAATAGAGGCCTGGGGTGGGGGGCACTGCGGCAGGGAAGAGGGGGCGCAGGGCAGGTCTCCCCCCAGAGGGGCCCCCCCAAGACAACACAACATCAACAAGAAAAGTTGCAAATCAGGCAGAAATGGGGACGTCATTCCAAGGTCCTTATATACAGACACTGCATGACCAGTGGGAAGGGGGGGGGGCCCGGATGGGACCAGGCATGGGCATGCGGCAGGCAGGTGGGCCAGCCCAGGAGCAGTATAGGAAGACAAGGCCTCCGCCCCACTCCCACCGCCATCCCACCCCACCTTTGGTAACAACAGCCCTTCAGGGAGCCCCTGGCGGTCAAGAGTTTCCTCTGGGAGTTCCCAGGGAGAGGGGCTCCCCAGTTCAGCCCTGCTGCAGGGCTGGAATGGGGGCGTCCTATGCCCGCCCTGGTTGGCCATGCGGGGCACAATGAGTTAAAAGTGTGCTGCCCACCCTTGACTCTGCCATCTGCCCAAAGTGAGGGGGTGATCCCTGGAAGTCGAGGAACCGGAGCCTAGTCATTGTAGAGGAGCCCTCTTGGGCATCAGCTGGGGGGAGCCCCATAAAGGGGAAGAGGGGGCTCCCTAGGGTTTGGGGGCTGAAGTGAGGGAAGAAGACCTGGACCCTGCATGGGGGAAGGGCCAGCGTGGTCATGAGGCCAGTAACCCCCCCACTCAGGGCCCTGGCCAGGAAGTCCACGCTGGAGGGGTCAGGAGCAGGGGCCCTGGCATGGGCCCGCCTGGGAGCTGGCCGGTGGCTGGGGAAGGGATGGCCGGCCGGCCAGAAGGGGGCTCACAGGTAGATCTCGCGCTTGGCCGTCTGGGCGGATGCCGGTGTGGCTGCAGGTGGGAAGTCCGAGGTCTGGGTCAGGGGGATTTCCTCCAAGGTGGCCGAGTCCTTGCAGGAATCATGGCTACTGTGGGAGAAGGCACTGTAGGAGGGCAGGAGGCGCACGGGGGCCGTTTTGGTGTTCCGGTCTTCCGGGGGGCTGGGGCTGCCGGCGCCCGCAGGCTCCTGCCCTCCTCGGTCCTGGTAAGGCACGAAGGTGGAGAGTTTGAGGGCGCTGCTCTTGGTCCGGCGGCTGGGAGACGACTGGCCAGGCATCCAGCACGTGTCGGAGTGGCCAAACTCGCTGCATTCCCGGGTACATGTGCCCGTCATGGCGACGTCAGGCAAAGGGCGCAGGTCTGCAGGGGAGAGCCGGGAGGATGGTCCTCAGGCAGGGCAGCCTCGCAGAGCTCTGCTCCACGGCCTCCCACCAGCGCCTCCATGCCGCCTTGGAACAGGGGTGCACGCCCCTTCCTGCCCACTGAGCTCACAGGCACACACACCCTCAAATAGACACACACCCTCCCACCATCCACCGCATGCATACTCTCTCTCACACACACACAATCTGTCCTTAAATAGACACATTCTTTCCATCCTCACCCACCCTCCAGCTCTCCTCTCACACATCCACCATATCTGCCCTCAGACAGGTGCACACACACCCCATCTACACACTCCGTCATCTATCTCCAGACAGGCTGAAACATGCACATTTACCCTCAGATAGGGGTGAGGAAACCCCCATCCTCATTAAAGACACAATCTCTTTCTCTCTCTACTGCTCGCTCTCTCCTCTCTCTCTCTCTCTCTCTCTCTCTCTCTCACACACACACACACACACACACACTCCTACCCTCAGATAGGTGTGGACACACAAATCTACACCAGGCATCTCTATCCTCAGACAAAGGTGGGCACATGCCTCCCTTCTGAGCCCCCTCCAGCCTCACCATGCTCCCAGTTGCCCTGGGACCCCACCCCACACCAGCATAGCAAGGCCCTGCTACAAAGCCAGGGGTTTGCGTAGAAGCACACACTCACATATCCACAAGCACACTCATGCAGCCCCTCCCCGCCTCACTCCGGCCCCTACACCACCCACCACCCCCCTGGCCTTGCCCCGCTCCCTGCCCAGAACACCCATGGGAACAGAAGTTGGCTGTCTGACATCAGCAGTAGCCAGTGTGGTTGCTGGGCAGCGGGGGTCTCCATGGGAACGTCTGGGCCTTGAGTACTTCCTGTCACAGTTGCCCCTGTCCCGCCCTCGCTTGGGGACAGTACCAGGCGGTGCCCCCCCCTCCAGGGATGTGACTGAGCGGCACCACCTGGGGTGGGGACTCCCCTGGCACCACCCTCCCTGGCTTGGCCTCCTGCCAGTGCAAGGTGAGGAGGGGACAGCTCTGTTGTTAACCCCTCCGGGGCTCTTCAGTTCAGGGCAGAGTGGGGGGACCCAACGTGGCACGGAGCAGAGCACGGGCACTGGGTGGGCGGGGCTGGGTGCTGGGCCGAGTCCCACAGACCCCAGACCCCAGAGCAGCTCCCACATACCTGGCAGTCCACCTCAGGGCCTGCTCCGGCCAGCCGGCTCTGCGCGGGCACAAAAAGGACGAGACGGGCGTGAGATCGCACATGGATGGGCAGGGTGGGGATGGAGGGCACTGTGAGACCTGGGGCCTGGGAGGTTAGACAAGAGCCCTGGGCCCGAGGGGTGAGGTGTGGAACTTTTCATCTTGTGGCGGGCTGGGGGAGTTTGGACTGAGGGAGGGGACGAGATCTGAGGAAAGCTCTAAGCTGGAGAGTCTTTCTATCCCAAGGGGAAGCTGATTTAGTCTCCCCACCACGGGCCACCAGAGGTACCTTCACGCACACACACGCACTACAAACATACATTCTGACAACACGCCCCCCATCCATTCCCATGCTGACCTCTGCTCCAGCCCAGATCCCACGTCTGCCATCACCCTCCAAGCCCCTCCCACACAAGCCTTTCCCCTCCCCGGGCCTCCCCACTCCTTCTCCTCAGCCAAACCCTCTCCTGCTCCTCCCGACAGGGGATCATCACACCCTTCTCTGGGCTCCTCATAGCATCCAGGGTCCCTTCCCTTTTCTCAAGGCCCTCTGAGCTCTCATTATCTCAGGATCCCCTCAAAGTTCCCTCACCACTACCTGAGCCCTCTGGCCCCCATTCTCAGGGTCTCTGTTCCCAGGAAGCAGAATAAAGTAGTGCTGAATTCAAAGTCTTTGGAGTCAGAGGTGCCTGGGTTTGAATCCCTCCCAGCTCTGTCACTTCCTGTATATGACTTTGGGTAAGTGACTCAACCTCTCTGAGCCTCCGTTTCCCCCACTGTAAAGGGGGCACAATAAAGTTCTCAGATCAGAGAGCGGTTGTGAAGGTTAAATGAATATATACCAGAAAGCACTCAGCACAGTGTTTACTGCTGAATACCCGAGAGCTCAAGAGATGGAGGCTATCTCTAAGGTCTCGTCATCACTCACAGGCTTCTACTCATTCCTGGGGTCCCCTCACCGTTCTCGGGGTGCTCCATCTCTCCTATGCTGCCATCGGGGGTGGTGCGCTCATAGTGATCCTCAGGCAGAGCCAGGGGACCGAGTCGGGGCCCCGAGGAGGACTTGCTGGACGGCGTCTCAGACTCCTCCAGGCCACTGTCGTAGTAACTGTGCTGGGACGGGTCCTGCAGCTCCTGCGCCTGGCTGGTGGCGGAGAAGGTGACTCGGCGGTGAGGTAACTGCAGGGAGAGGGAGTGTCACTGCCGGCCGGCCAGCCTGCGCCACGGGGCCGCCACCGCACCGGGCTACAGCCCCAGCCAAGCCCACCCCCAGAGCTCCTAGCCCTCTAGGCCTCAACAGCAACCAGGAAGAGGCCCAGCCCCCTAGCACAGCAGAACCCCCCAGAAAGCAGAGACCTTAATAGAGGACTGCCCTTTGATTCTAGGTCAGCTCCCCGGACAGCCAGGACCACGCACTGGAAGTCCCAACACAGCACAGGCCCCCGTGTTATGATAGCTCCCAGGCCAGCACAATAAGCTTAATCCAGTACAACCACTTGTTAGAGCACAGCTTCCCAGTACTGGCACAGCCTCTGTTTAATTCCAGACAGCCAACACCAAAACAGCACAATTCCAGCCAACTTCCCTAATTCCAGCATAGCCTCTAAACACCAGCAAGCCTCCAGTTTTTACAACAGCTCCCTAAAATCAGGACAGACTCCTAATTCCAAAACAGCTCACCAATACCAGAACAGTTCCCTGATTTCCAAATAGCACCCTCCAGACTCCAGCTCCTCACCTGTCTCATTGCTCTGTTAACTTCTCATTGCCTCCATCCAGTGGGGTGCTAACCTCTTTCTGATCTTCTGTTCCTCACCCCTGGTCTGTAATGCCACAGGCAGGACTCCCTGCTGAGTCCCCACCCACCCAGGTGCCCACTGCGTTCCCCTTCAGAGAGGCCTGGGAGTGGAAAAAGGTGGGAGGGAAGAGGGAAAGGGAGCCTGATGACAAACCAGGGCACCTTGGGGATGGGGTAGCAGAACAGTGGGAACTCCCCAGTCCTCCAGATCAGGAAACAGTATTAACTGGAGAGGGCAGGGCCCAGGAGGACCTGGGCATAGGGGGAGGGGCCCAGCATCCATCAGGGATTCGGAAGGTTGGCTTCTTCGAATGGAGACTCCTTCTAGGAAAGAGGAAGGAGCTTCCGGCAGGGGCCGCTGGCTTGGTAGAGCCAGGATTTAGGAGCTTGGAGCAGGGGCTGGGGTGGAGGGAGGGCAACAGTGACAGGCTGCTCCCAGACAGCAGCCCTGCCTGCCTGCCATGGGTTGACGATCATGCCAGGAACCTGGCAACCTCAGCTTGGCACTCGGTACAACCAACCCATCCCCCAAACACCCACCTGGGACCACCACTGGTTCTCCTGCCAACTGGAAATTAGAAGTTGTGGAGGGCGCAGACCCGGGCCCCTGGGGGCCAGGGGTGGGAGCAGCCCGGGCCCAGGGCCCTGCTGACGAGTCTCCAGGCTCCTTCTAATCCTCTAAGACCTTGTGGTGCTTTGTCTTTAAAACTCTCAATAGGAGGTTCTCAAGATGGCCAGAGGAGGGTGTCCCAGGTTTGCAGACCCACCCTCCTGATACCCTACACAATTTCCGTGCCATCCAAGGCAGCTGGGGTAAGGGAGGTTGTCAGCACAGGGAGCTTTGGAGCCGCCTTCCCACCTTGGCTCCCACCCCACCTTCAGGCATAGGCAACCCTTCTCGAGATCCACGTTGGGATCCAAAACACCGAAAGGTCTGGGTGATGACAGACAAGATCCCCAAAACTGACCTGATACTTGGGGCTGGGAGGATGTAAAGGAGCACATCCACCTGGTGATGGAGTGAATAGGTTCCAGGAGGGTCTGGGAGGCACAGGGCAGTCTGGCTGTTGGGTGTTTTTCTTTCCAGTTTTCTTTAAGACATTAGCCAGCAGCCCTCCCTCCCTGCAGAACCTGTGCCTGGTAATCCAAGGCTTCAGTCCTGCCTCCTAGGCACATCACTTGGTCTTTTTCCTATGATTCTTTTCTGTAAAATGGAGGGTTGGGTCATACTCAACACTAAATATTCCCCATCATTCTATGACTATCAAATCTTAAAAAGCCTAGATCCAAAATCTCTCTCAGACCCTAGTCCAGAAGTTCTAGACCCTTGCTGGTTATTTCCAATCGGCCGTCCCTATGGACCCTTCAGATTCAACATGCCTGAAACCAAATTCTTTTTCTTTACTCAGCTTCTGCATGGGCAATGATCTCGTCATCCTACCACCCGGAGTCAGAAGGATGCTATCTATCTGGGGACCCTGGTAGCTCTCCACTCGCTCCCCACCCCTATCCCATATCCAATCATCCCTTGAGTCCTGTGGGTCACTTCTCCAGAAGGTCAGCCTGATCCATCCATCCATCACGCCCTTTTCCACCATCCTTGCTCAGACCTTAGAGGTGCAGTCCTGTACCTTCACCTCTACCCACCTTAAATCCACCATACACTCCAGTAAACTCTCTAAAACTCAGTTCATCCAAAACTCATGAGCTTTCGGGGCCTCCCACTGCTTCTTAAGGAACTTTTGGCAAAGCATCTATGTCCTCTACAACCTACCGTCTTCCAGTCTCCTGTCTCAGCTCCCTCCTATACCCTCCACTCCAGCCAGAATCCCCTTTCTGCCCTCCCCCTGCCTCCAACTTGGTCACGCTCACTCCCGCCTCACCTCGGGATTGGCTCAGTCTCCCGTCCAACTCCAGCTCCTCACTTTATGAAGAGCCAGCTCAGGGTTCTCATTCCCCTCCCAGAAGCCCACCCCCGTGTCCTATGCACGTTTTCTCATACTATGTGCCTCAAAGAAAGGGAGGGGGCACCATGGTCAAATAAATTTGGAAAACCCAGAGTTACACAAAGTTTAACAGGTTTTCCCTTCTTGCAGGCTTTGCAGAGCCTTTAATAGGTTAATGTGAACTTAGTCCTGGAACCCCTTTTTTATAGCATAACGGAAAACAGCAGACTCTGGCAATCAGCTTTCCTGATGATTTGTGTTTGAATTTGACTCCATCGCTAACTAGTTTTCACTTCTGTAAAATGACCTGCATCACAAAGAGTTATGAGCAGTGGATGAGCTAATTCACATAAAATGCTCAGCATGGTACGTTGCACCTGGTAAGGACTCAAAAAAATGGAAGCAAGTAGTGGCAGAAGTGGTAGAACAAGTTGGGAAAAGCTTTACTATATGGCACTTCTCACCGGTGAGAATCGACACCATGATTCTCAACTGCCTCATCTTGTTACTTGTATGTCTTGTAGAAATATGACCATTTTTTCCTCAAGGTCTAATACTATGCTGAGCACACAGTAGGGGTTCAGCCTATGTGTTTTAATGATGACACTGGTGTCGTGGTTTGGTTGTGTTTGAATGTTCAGTGTGGCTCCACGGATGGGTTGGACTGGAGCCGAATAAGGGATAATCCCTCAGACCTTGAGAAAGAAAGAGATTAAGGAGCTAAAGGAACAGAAGAAAGAGAGAGGCGGTGGCAGCAAGGAGAGGAACAAAAGAGAAAGAATGATTGGTCAGGAGCTGCTGGAGGTGACCCTAGAGATGCTTATTTGTCCAAGGGAAATGCGATGAAACCAGATTTCACTTCCCCATGCACCACTCCTCCAAAGCCCCTAGGAGTTTTTACTTTGGGGGTACCCCGGGGCATTGGGGAGTTTGTGGACGGAATCAGAGTAGAGAGCTGACACCCTGGACCTCCTGGGAGTGTCTCAAGCCTCTTCAGTCGCCATGGAGACAGGTTGCCTCTGCCCTCAGAGACTCCCCCAGGACCTGAGGCCCCTCACCCAGACTTTAGCCTCCTCCTCAGGCACAGCCAGAGACAGGGCAGACCCAGGAGAGCAAGAAGTGAGAGACGGAGAGAGAGAGAGTGAGTGAGAGCTAGCAGCTCAGGGTGGCCAGAGCAAGGAGCTGAAGGAAGGGAAGGGAGGGGGCCGGATAGGGCGCCTCAGCCCTGGTCAGCAGTGGGGATACAGAGCAGGTCAGTCCATAGCACTGGGGGCTATCCTCCCCTCTCCCTGGGCCCTCCCTCCCGGCAGCCCAGACTGGTGACCATGGTGGGAAGACACAGGGCAGAGCAGGCTAATTGCTGGGTGTTGAGCGGTATTGGGATGAAGAGGCTGGGAAAAGGACTTGGGAAGATCTTACCTCGAGGGAAGGTGCCTGGTATAATTAAGAGGTTCTCTGCCTTCACCTGAGGCAGCCAGGCTGCACTCCACCCCCACCAGCTGCTCTGGTCTGAGCTCTGTTGCGAGATGCTCCGATGTGCACAAATGGGAAAGGTCAAGTCTCAGCCAGCAGAGAAAAGGGCAGGACTTGGGTGCATCTCCATCCGCTTTCTTGGTAAAGGGTGCCATTCCCAGGGAGGTGTCACAAACATGAGGGAAGGGGACACTGCTGGACAGCTCCATTTGAAGCCTGCTCAGAAAGCACTTCCCCCAATCATGGACATGGTCATGGTGGGGCGGCAGGGGGACCTGGTCAATTAAGATAGGGTTGGGGCAGAGGGGCAGGTCTGGGACGGGGGAAGGGACAAAGGGCAGGGATGGGGAAAGTGAGGCAGGACATCGGACAAAGGGCTGTTTCCAGTCTCTCTCGCTCCTTCTCTCAGTTCCAGGAAAATAAGAAGCCAAAACTCCAAAAATAGAGAACTTTATTATCAGGGTGAAGTGTCTGGGGCTGGGGGAGGGGAACTGGGGCCCAGCCCCAGGAGTCTGGGGTGGGGAAGAGGGTGACACACAGTACACAGAGAAGGCACAAGTGGGGAGGCCCCCTTCCCTGACAGAGCGTCCACCTGGTTACCCACCAGGACCCCAGGTCTCCCCCTTTCCCCTCTAGAGAAGCACCCATGGCTGGTCTCGGACAGAGACCCACGTTTGTAGGAGACTTCTTCTCCACTTCCCTCCCCGCTTCTGCCTCCAAACCCTTCTGCTCACCTACCCATCAGTCCCCACCTGCAGGACCCAGCGGGTGGTCCAGTGTCCCAGGATGTGACAAGTCACAGGCCTCTCCCAGCGCGGAGGGGGGCGGGACACGGGGCACACCCTCAGTTTGCATTCGGCCCGACCCTCCAAGCCTGGGTGAGGCAGCAGGGTCATCAGTGGTCCCAGCATCCCCCGATCTTTGGCTCCACCTCCCACTACTGACTTGGGCTGGTGAGCACGGCAGGCCCGAGACACCAGCTCTGTTACTCCCACACCTCGGTCCAGATGGCCCCGTGGTAGGGGTGGGGTGGGGGCCGGGGTATGCTGAGCTGCAAGGGCTGGCCTACCTGCTTGCTGGGGTATTTGGGGGGGTTGGTGCGGTAGCTGTAGTCGGAGTACTGCTCAGAGCCCGTGGACGTCGTGTCCCCAGTGCCTACGAAAGTGTTGGCTGGCGGCAGGTCCTGCACCACCTGGTGCTTCTTGGAGGCGGAGGGTGACTGGGGCTGCAGCTGGATGGAAGGCAGTGGGGAATTAGAGCGATAGTGGCGGCCGAGGTCAGGGCTGCCTGGTGGGTAGTTGAGGGGCAGGTGGATGCGGGGGCTGTCCCCAGGGGCATCGCTCATCAGGTTGAACTTGAGGGATTTCTGCAGCCCGGCCTCATCCTCGTCCTCCACCGGCTTCACGGGCTTGGGAGATTTGCTCTTCTTGCCCTTGCTTTTGTTTCCCTTGGAAACTTTGCTGCTGGGCTTGGGGGCATACAGGTCCTTGGTCTCCTTCTTGCCAGCCTGGTAGCCACTCTTGGCCTCCCGTTGCCGGCAGTAGCGCACGAGCACGGCCAGGGCGATGAGCAAGGCCACGGCCACGACACCCGCCACCACGCCAAACAGGATGTTGCCGCGCTGCTTGGAGCGCTCGTATTCCGGATCCCCAGCAATGTCGATGTCCAGCGGCGTGTCCAGGCTGTGGCCCAGCAGGGTCTCCAGCAGGGTGCGGTTGGCCAGGGTGTCATTGACATACAAGTGGACCAAGGCTGTGCCATAGCGAGGGGGCTTGCCGCGGTCAGTGACCTTCACCACTAAGCGGTGCAGCCCATGGTGGCGCCGCTCAATCTCCTTTTCCAGGGTGATGGCACCGGAATGTGACCCAATCTGGAAGAGTCCGTAAGGGTTGCCACCGGCGATGCTATAGGTCAGCTCAGCGTTGACACCAGAGTCAATGTCCTCAGCTGTCACCTGGCTGACCGTCTCACCCAGACGGGTCTGGGGGGTCAGCAGCCGGTGGGAGGTGTTGGAAGGGGCGGTGATAAAGGGTGCATTGTCATTCTCATCCAGCACGTTGATGGTGACGCCAACGTAAGCCGAGCGAGGTGGGACGCCGCCGTCCACCGCCTTCAGCTGGAAGGTATAGGTGCTTTGCTGCTCCCGATCGAAGCTCAGGCTGGAGAGGATGGTGCCCGTGCCGTTCTGGATAACAAAATCACCATTGTCCTGCTCCACCGTGAGCTGCACCCGGGCGTTCTCCCCCTTGTCCCCATCAATGACCGTCACCATGCCCACTGGACTCAGCGCCGGCATGTTCTCCATCACTGAGAAGTTGTAGCCACTCAGCATAAACTTGGGGTCATTGTCATTGCAGTCCAGCACGTTGACAAGGACGGTGGCTGTGCCTTGGAGGCTGGGGCTGCCCCGGTCGGCTGCCACCACCTTCAACTCGTAGCTTTCCCTCTGTTCCCTATCAAGGGATGTCTTCACCCGGATCTCTCCAGTCTCAGGTGAGATGGTGAAGAGGCCCTTGGCAGCCGGCTCAGGCTCCAGAGAGTAAACCAGCTCAGCATTGGAGCCCGAGTCGGCATCACTGGCAGTGACCTCAGCGACCACTTCACCTGGCTTGTTGTTTTCTGGGAAGGCGACCTCAGTGACACTCTGGGTGAAGACAGGTGCATTGTCATTGACATCCACCACCTGCACCTTGAGGGAGTTGGTGCTCGAGAGTGGGGGGTTGCCAGAGTCCACGGCCACAATCTCAATGGTGTAGTCTTTGACCTTCTCATAGTCGAGCGGGGTGGTGGTCTGCAGGAAGTACTTCTTCTTGCTGTCACTTCCCGTCTCACTGGCCTGGCGGAGCTGGAAGGGCACGTCACCTGCCACCACACAGGTGACAGCTGCATTTTCTCCCTCATCTCGGTCAGATACCTGCACCAGGGCCACAGCTGTCTCTTCTGCCACGTCCTCTGAGATGTTAGCCATCCCGTCTTGGTGAGTCACCAGCCCTATGCCCCGGATCTCAATGGTGGGGGCATTGTCGTTCACGTCCTTCACGGTCACCACCACTTGGGCTCGGGCACTCTTGGGGTTGGTGCCTCGGTCCTTGGCAAGCACCGAGAAGCGCAGGGTGCTTAGGTCCTCACGGTCCACGGGGCCCTGCACAGTGATAAGTCCCGTGTTCCTGTCCAGTCTCAGAAGACGCCTCACAACCTCGGGCACCTGGTGGAACGTGTAGTCGATCTCTGCGTTGGCACCTTGGTCAGAGTCATTGGCCTTCACCTACAAGGCAGGGGGAAAAACAAGGAAATCGGGGCTGGGTTAGTTTGGCGATAAATTAAGCGACACATTTCTGCCTTTCCAACGAGCACGGCAGACGCAACTAATCTAACAAGGCACCCTTTCCAAAAGCAGCACATGCATGCCCTGCCCTTTTCCCAATCCTGACACTTTGGCATATATTACTGATCTTTTTCCCTGAAGAGCACAGATACAGCCCACAAATCCTCAGTGGTGCTACAAGCTACTACTAGAGATGGGACAGGGCAGAACTGAACTCTACTTATCACTCCTATACTAGTCCACCCAAATATGGGGATGAGGATCCAATTAGCAGCTAGGGCAGCCCTTCCACCCAATTAAACTGGCCTTCAAACCCTTCTGAAGAGCTGGAAAGGTGTGAGTAGTAGAGATGGTGTGTATGCGTGACATATGTGTGCAACATGCATGCATGCACACACAAGTGTTGTGATTATGTGAGAAGGTATGTTTATGCACGTGTCTACTGGCACACGAATGGAGACCCACGTGCCCCTCTGGAGGCCACGGGTGAGGGGATTTCTTTTTTGAAAGGGGCCAGGTAGGGATGTGGGTCAGAGGGAGCCCGCCCGCCAGGCCAGGTCACTACACTCTGTCAAAACCGGGGAAACCTGTTTCATCTCTCTTCCCCTCCCATGGCTGGCGCTGGCTAGGCATCAACTTGAGGAATCCAGCCGAGCCTGCGGCCAGGAGGGAGGGGCTGGTGCAGCCCACAGAGCCTGCTGGCAGCGGGCTGGGCTCCCAGCATCACACAATGAACTCTCTGTCCCTTTGCAGTGGGCGCATCCTTCCACGCCAAGGCCGACACACACTCGGCCCAAGTCTATACAAACATGGGTGGTAATGGGGCAACAGGAGCCAGGTGGGAATGGTCATGAGGTGGCACTGGTCAGGGAGCAACAAGAGGGATGGAGTTAGGTCACAGCCCAACAGAATGTGATGGCAGTACAGGCGGGGGCGGGGGAGGAGGGGGTAGGGGGTAGACAGGACAGGCACCACTTGGCAGAGTCTCTGGGGAGCAGAGCAAGAGTCCTAGGTTCAAATCCCAGCTCTGCCACTTCCCAACTATGAGGCCTTGGGCCAATTATTTAACATCCTCAAGCCTCAGTCTACAAATGTGTAAAATGGGGATAATAATAGAACCTACTTAATGGGGTTGTGGTGAGGATTAGATGGGATGATAAGTGTAAAAATGCCTAACACTGCCTGGCACATGGCAAGTGCTCCCTAAATAGCATTTATCCCTCTTTTTGTCCATCCAGCTCTGAAAATCGGTGCTGACACAGTATTGGGCATTGCACCTAGCAGGGCCTCAGGCCACTGCTAGTCTCCTTTCCTTCCCATCAGGATTTTTTTGTCAGTGAAAACACTGGTGAGCTACCTGGTCTCTGCTCACCCCTCTAATGGTTTCTCCTCGCCCCTCCATCCCCCTGTTCCCCCAGTCTGTCACCAACTTTTACATTATGATCCCCACTGTCTCCCTGTCTCTAGACTGGTCACCCACCTCCTTGTCTGCCTCTCTTGCCATCTCACCTCTCTGTCTCTGTCTCTGAGTCTTGACTTCTGTCTCTCTTTCCCTCCCATCTTGCTCAGTTCTCCTTCTGCCTCTTTCCCACTGCTGGCTCTCTCCCATCCTCTCTTTTCTGCTCTGTCTACCCATAGCCTCGTCTCTGCCCCATTCTCCTGCGTCATCCCACTTCCCAGCTCTTACACACATGGGCTCTGAAGCCAAACTGTTGGATGTGGCCAAGGTGGAATCTGAACACATCAGGTGGGGGTTACCAGGCAAGTTTCCTAATCTCTGTGGGCTCAGTTCCCCATCTGCAAAATGGGGATAATGCTTACATTGTACTGTGGAGATTAAATGATATAATACACATAATGTACTCAGAACAGTACCTGGCACCTAGGCTATGATTATTCGCCATCCCCGACTGTCTGTCTCCCTTTTCTTTCTCAGTCTCTCTTCTACAGGTTCCAGTCCACCAGCCTCTAAAAAAAGGCCAAAACTCCTCCCCGTGCCCTGCTTCAGCTTGAGGACTTGGGATGAAGGGTTTCCCAGGACGGGTAATGGTGAGCCCTCCTCAGCTTCCTCATACCAAAGACAGACAGCTTCAGCCCATGGGGAAGGAGAAAGGAGCTGGGGCTGGCAGGAGGCCAGGGCTGAGATGACAGTGGGAGATACGCCCACCTGTCTGCAGGGACGCTTTCTTTGCTCTCTCCCAGGCCCTGACCCCACCAAGCTGCCCAGCTCCTGGGGCAGTTCCCATCGAGAGGGGTGTTGAGAGCTTCAGCAGAGGCCACCGACCCCCCCTACTGTGCCCAGCACCCCACACCCATGGGTACCCTGTGCCTAGGGGAGGAGGTGGGTGTATAGACATCTGCGTACAGTTTTCTAGAATTCTGAGGACTCACCTGGCTAAAATGATCTCTTGTGACTGTCAGGGATGGGCAAAGCAAGGCTCTGTCCTCCAGCCTCAGGAAACTCGCATGTGGCTAAAGGGCCCCTGGTTGGGAAGACATTCTCATCTCTGGAGAGATTCTACTTGGACAAAAGGCGGTTCACTTGTTCCAGCTCAGCTCACTTGGCTGGGGAGAAGGATATCATTTGACTTGGGAGGGGGTTTCACTTTGCAGAGGTTTCTCCAGCTTGAGTCTGCCTCGGGGATGGGGGGATCACTGTTCATATGCTATGTCACTGTCACCTGAATAGCTTGACAGAGGAAAGTAAATCCCCTGCTGGGGTGAGGTGGACTTGTGGGAAGGTCTCACCAGGCGGGGGCTGGGGAAGAGAGATCTCACCACAACATCTTGGCCATCTTGCCCTTAAGTGAAGGGAACTCTCACGAGGTTGGGGTAGGCTCCCATTTCTAAATGTGGGTCACCCTGACAGTTAGATGGAGGGGCCTCTCACCTGGATGACTGAGTGTCCTATGGGGCTGTTCTCAGACAGCTCAGCCTCGTAGGACGGCCGCTCGAACTTGGGGGCATTGTCATTGGTGTCGAGCACAGCGACTCGCAGCAGGGCGCTGCTGGCGCGTGGGGGGTTGCCGCCATCCTGCACCTTGATAGTGAGGTCGTAAGAGTCCAAGCGCTCCCGGTCCAGGTTGCCCATCACGATGAGCTGCGGCTGCTTTCCGTCCTGGTCCTCTGCCACCTGCAGCTTAAATAGCCCCTGGGCCTCGGGCCCCACCTGCAGCTCATAGGACGCTACACCGTTGGGGCCAGCATCGCGGTCCGAAGCCACTGGGATGGAGAAGAGTGAGCCATTGTTGGTGTTCTCGGGGATGGGCAGCGTGATGACTGGTGAGGCGAAGTTGGGCGTGTTGTCATTGATGTCCTGGACCTCTATCTGGCCCTCTAGCAGCCGGGGGCTGCCATTCTGCACGAGGTCCGTGATAGACACCTCAAACTCCAGGATGCAGGGCTCACCAGGGAGCTGGTTCTGGCATTCTCGGAGCCCCTCGCGGTCGATAGAGGTCTCCGTGGTAAAGATGTCGCCTGTCTTGCCATCCACCCGCAGGTACGGGGCGCCTACTTCTAGTTTGTATAGGTGGCCCACGTCTGGAAAACCATAATCGGCTGCGAGGCTCCCAATGAGGGTGTTGGGCGGTTGTTCCTCTGGCACCTTGTACACCACCCGAGTGGCGTGGCCTGGGGATGGAGCTAGCAGCAGCAGAAGTGCCAGCAGCAAGGCAGGCGGCAGCAACCGTTGCCCCCCAGGGCCTGGGCTGTGCCTCAGGGACCCCATCCGGGCAGGCTCCAGAATCAGGAGGGCTGTACGCGAGGGAGACAAAACAGGGGGTCAGCTGGGAGGAGGGCCCAGGCCCTGAGGGCTGCCCAGAGCCAGCCCCCGACTCCCCCTCTGCCACCTACACACTGATCTCCCAGGAGAGATCTGCCCTAGTACAGAACCCAGAACCCTGAGTCTCACCCACAGCTGGTGTAGCAGCGGTGTCTGCCCCAGCTGGAGGAGCAGGTCTAGAGCAGTTCCTGCCCAAGGAACGCCCTGACCCACCTGACACTCCCTCCCTCCCTCCCTCCCTCCCTGCTCTCTACCCTGTGCTTTGCCCAACACCTCCTTCTCAGCAGCATCCTGCCATAGTCACCCATGCTAATTACCCTGATACTGAGATAGGGAGAGACAGCAAGTGGAAGGGCGAGACCAGGAGCAACTCCCCCCCCACACATACGAGGTAGGAGAGAGACGCAGGTACCCTCACGTTCCCCAGACCCCGGATCATCTGCCCGCTGCCCACACTGAGGGCCACTCACATTGGCTGCCGGGAGGAGGGATGATGTCACGTTCCTCTCCCTGCTGAGATGCCAAGTCAGTGTACGCACAGGAGGTAGGACATCTCAGATCCCTTTCTCCTGGCGGTAATCACCCTAGTGCCCAATGTCCCCGCCCTCATGAAGGGCCAGCTTGGGCTGGGCACCAATCAAGGCTTGAAAACGGTTAGGGCTGTGGAGTAGGTGTTAACCCTCCCCGACCCCCTTCCAAACAAACGTGCCCCTGGGCACTCACACCTGTGTGTACACACACAGTTCCCGGGGCTCCTCTACCCTCCCTCTCCACCAGGGTGGGGGACGGCGGGGAGGAGAGACACGGGCAGGTATGTGGAAGAAGAGAGTAGACGTCAAGACTGGGGTCAGGACTGTGGTCAGAGCTGACTAGCCCTGGAAGTGGCATTGGGAGCTGCCCCAGCCTATCCTTAGCAACTAGGAGCCCAGCAGGTCTAACTGGGACAGAGCTGCCAATAACACCAGCAGCCTTGCCCTGACCGCTCACTCCCCATACCCCTGCTCAGTCTCTCAGTGAACATCTGGCCCCTCCCCCGCTTAATCGGTCCAGTCCCATCTCATACCTGCCTCTCCCCGCCCACCCCCAAATCCTTCCAGTTAGAGCCCTGTATGCCCCAGCCAACCACAAGCTGCACCGCCATCACCACGAGAGCCTTCTGCCCATCTCCCCCAGCTTTGAGCTGTGCCGCAGCAGACCCCAGCCAGACCCTCCAGCTAAGTCCCAGTCTTGACTCCCTCCTCCTCTCCAGCACTACCACGACCACGGCCAGCCCTTCTATTCAAATCCAAAATCTTCAGCCCAGTATTTTCAGCAGAGGCTCAGGCTCAATCTTCCTTCCCTAGCTCCTGGAGTACGTGCCCCATACCTGGAAATCCCACCCCAGGCCCTGTCACAGGCCACACCCACCCCACTGAAGGCAGGTTCTGGTCACCCAGGAAGCCTTCCCAGGCCTCTTCAGCCCTCAGTGACCTCTCCTTCCTCCAACTCACAGCCACTTACTGTGTGTCTCAATCCCATGGCGATGAATCACTGTGCAGCCTGGGACACCGCCCGCCCGTGTTGTTCAATCCCAGTTATTGTGCGCTTCCTCCTGTGTTCTCTGCACTTATTCCCCTCCAAGCGTCCCGAAGGAAGGGACAGGGCTCCCTACCCTCATCCCCCAGCCCCCACCCATTCACCTTCACAGAGCTAGGCGCACTATAGGTGCTCACTCATGCATTCAGTGAGCGTTTATTGGGCACTTACAACATTCCAGGCGCGATCCTGGGCAGTGGGACACAGCGGCGAACAAGACAGATGCAATCTGTCGTTGTGGAGCTGACAGTGGTTCTAACTCAAGGACTATTTGTCACTTTTGTTGGGCTGTACCCATTTGACAGATGTAAGGCAGCAGGGTGGAGAAGAGCAGGGAATGTGACATCAGACAGTCTGAGGCAAACCCCAGCTGCCCACTTTCTGACTGCGTGAGCTGGAGCAATTGACTTAGAGCCTCAGTTTCCTTATCTGTAAAATGGGGATAATACTACCTCTTTCCTAGGGAGTTTGAGATCATGTGGGCTAAATGCCTAGCACAGTGAGTATTCAACAAATGCTCCCTCAAAGCACTCACAATTGTAGTTAGGTAGCTGTTTGGGAAATAACTTGTGAATTATTTCTCTTTCCTATAAGACTGTGAGTGGAGACTGGGAGAGCCTCTGCTTTGTTTACTCCTACATCCTCAGGGCCTTGCCCTGGACCCTGCACACTGTAGGTACTCAGTAACAGCTCATGAATGACTGTGATTATTTCACCTCTCAGGCTTAGCCTATCATGGAACTTTCTGTATGGTCACTGCTTGTTTTCTTGCCCAATTTCCCTACTCCACTGAGAACTCCCTGGGGTCTGATTTAATGCTTCTCTGTGTAGGTCCCTAGCAGACTCTCAGCAAATGGTCATTGAATGCAGATTCCTTACACAAGCACAGCCCCTCCCTGGTCACTCCTCGCACTAATAGGCTCAACGCCTGTGAGGCTGTTATCAGATTAGTGTGTGTGTTTGCTCTCAGCTGCAATCTTAATCTCTTTAAAGGAGGGAGGAATTTATCTGATGCTCTATTTGGATCCACCCTCCAGCCATTTCCCCTCTCTCTGCATGGACCTGGCACTGGGCTCATCTTACCAACAAGCCTCAACCCAAACACACCTGTCTCCAAAGAACCTCATTCCCTTCTGGGCACCTTATCCTGCCCTCCCTTGCACAGCACACACACAACATGGGATCATTGTGAGCACCGATTCCGTGCAGAAGTCTTGGCAGGGTGGGGGTTACTTGGGAGTTACCCTAAACATGACAAAGAGGAGAAATAAAGCAGTGCCAGCCTGCCTCCACTCACTCCCTCCAGATCAACGGTTTGTAACCTTTTTGGGTCACATTCCCCTTTATGTATTTTATGAAACCACACTGCAGATTTTTCCAAGAAAAATGAACACTCACAAATTTTGGCTACAAATTCAGAGGTCCATGGTCTGGCACCGTCAGGGTGACTTTCATTTGTAGCCGCTCTAAGAGCTACAGATTAAGCACTGACCTTGGGGGCTTCCTTCCCCATCTTGGGTCACAACCAGGGGCTCTAACCCCTCAGGCCTTCCAGGCAGCACAAACATAGCATGCTTGTGACACATTCCCCCCCATCCCCCCTCCCCACGCCTGCCCCCTAACTCTCATACACATTCTCTCACTCACCCTGTCACCCTTAGGGGTCAGGAAAGGATTGTGGCATCTAACTTCTGACTTGGGAAGAAAACCAAAAGGGAATATCCAAGGCAAGCAAGGTTGGGGGCGGGGAGGGGGCGCGGCTTCCTGGGAGGAAGGTGGAATTTGGGGGGGAAATGGGGTTGGGGGAGGGTTGCCCAGAGTCGGTTGCCCAATAAGAGCTGAAGAGAGTTTAGGCTCTTTTAAGCACCTGAAGAGTTCCTTTAAAATGAGTATTATCTGGCTCCACCCTTAGGAATTCTGATTCTGGAAGAGGGACCTGGAGAAACCCCCAGGCAGCAAGGTGGAGGCAGCAAGGGTCAGGAACCTTTTGGGAACAACTCTGAGGTACTCTAGGTCTTTGGAGTTAAGAAAGAAGCATACATTCTATTATCATCACCTTTATTATCATCCCTCTCCTCACCATCATCATCAACCCAACTAACACTCCCCGAGAGATTTTACTCCATTTACATCCATTTCCCATCTAACCCTCCCAACCCGCTGAAATGGGTACTAGTTATTATTAATTTACGGCTCCCCATAATACAGATGATAAAACTGAGGCTCAAAAATAATAATTGCCTTAGGTCACAGAAGTAGTAAGTGGAAGAATTGGGATTTGAGAAATAAGAATGCCTCCTCACTGAGTTGGGAAAAGGCTGGATGGGGGAAGGCAAATCAGTGGTTGCTATGTACCACCCCTGCCACCCCCCCTCCCCGCCCCCGCCAACACACACACACAGACACACACACACACAAAATCCCTGGGCTGCCAAACCTGCAGGGCAAGGAGTGAAAGAGAAAGAGAGAGCCTAGGGTTCAAGGTCCAAAGGAACCCAGGCCTCCCAGGATGCAGAGAGAGAGACAGAACAGCCAGGAGTGGCAGTGAGGCAGCCTTTCCTACCCCCTGCTCCCACCCGCCATCCCTGAACTTTGTCCTGGTGGTTGGCTGCTGGGAGTCATTAGTCCCAGACGGCAGCCTTTGAAACGATTAGTGCCTTATCTGCCCTTCCCTAGGCATTGGCTGCCTTCCCAGCAGGGGTGTCCCCACCTCCACCTAACGACACTGGGCACCCAGGACCCTGAGAAGCCAGAGCCTCAGTAGGGACAGTGACTCATTCTTCTCAGGCCAGAGGAGCACAGTGAGGTGTGAGGGGGCAGAGTCCAGGGAAGGGCAAGGAAAACGCCATCTGTGTCAACATCTGGGGAGGAAGGAGAACAGTGCTGAGGGTTCACCTGGAACCTTCATTGACAGTCCACCTCGGGGACCAGGGGCCATTTCCTGCTGAATGCTGTGGCCAGAGAGGAAACACACAGGGGCAGACATCACTGTCCCAGAGGCCAGGTCAGCCCTGACCCTCACTCCTGCACTGTTACACAACAGTCACCACCACTGTGGGCACAAAACACCAAGGGACACAGCAAACATCTGGGAGAGGAGGGTAAGCAAGCTGGGCTGTGTGGGGTGGAGCTGTTCAGAGGCTTCCCACAGTGAATAAGTGCACAGCCCTCAGCTCCTCTCCCTTCTTTTTCACAACCCTCTGTTAGCCTCTGCAGGGTTTCCAGGCACCTGCATTCTTGAGTCAGACTGTCGGGGTTCAAACCCTGGTTCCACCACTTCCTAGCTGTGTGACCTTGGCCAAGTGACTTTACCTCTCTGAACATATTTCCATATTGTGAAATGGAAATAATCCTGCCTCTTGAAGTTATTTGGGAGGATTAAATGAGAGCCGATGCATTAAGGTCTATTACGTTGTAGAGGACAGATAGCTTTCCATCACCGAAGACAGCACTTTATTTCCAACATCAGGCAAACGGTAGGTGCTCATTGGTTCAATAAATAAATGAGCCAATCCCCTGCCAGTTGGGAAGACCTATGAAGGCAAGGGTGGTGTCTGTCTTACTACAGTACTGCATCCTCATCACCCACCATGGGCCCTAGCAGACAGCAGGTGCTCAATACATGGTTGGAAGAATCTCTCTCTGCGGCACCAACTATCCTCTCTCACGGTAGGGGCAGACCTCACCCGTATCAGAAGGGCCTCCTCCTTTCCCATCTCCTCTCCCCCCCAGCCTTGACTCCTGCTCAGCTCCTCCCCCCACCCTTGCAGACCTTCTCCTGACCCTTCCACCCACACTCCGAGGCAGTTAGCTCACTATCTCTACCTAGCCCAGCTCCCCTGACCAAGTAGCCACAGCAGCAGCCCGTCTTCCAGGAGGACGCCTTACCAGCAAGACCCCCCTTTCCAGCTGAAATCCCTTTTGGAATTGGGGATTGGGTGGGAGGTAAGGGAAGAAACTAAATGCAGCCAGAGCTGAAACCGGACCTGCTCCCCTACCACCCCGCCCCTGGCAGTCTCTGGAGGCCCCTCTCATCCCTCTCTCCTCGATTCCACTCCATCCCCTGGTCTGGTCGTAATTACACATTTCAATCCTCCCAGACCGCCACGTCAAGAAAGTAACACCCCTCCACCCCACACACACCTAGACCTCTGGGCTGTCACAAACACCTTCGGCGCGCTCTCCTTCCTGGCAGCTACCAAGGGTTGGCCCAGAGCAGGTAATGGAAGGCTCTCGGCGTTTTCCGGCACGACGTCCTGGACTCTGCCGGCCGGGGCAGACCTCAGCCTACACCGCCGCGGTCAGCGGGCGCTCCCCGTACACCTCCTGCGCGCGGGGTATCTCCTCCCAGAGGACGCGGGAGAGTGTGTCGGGGGAGGTGGGACGGCGGCTGTTCTCCGCCAGCCTCCGGCTCGGCCGGCCCCACCCCACCCCCACCCTCAGCAGGGAGACGCCGGGCCTTCCCGAGCTCAGGGCGAGGCGCGAGCGCGGCGCGGTGAGAACGCGCCTCACCGGCGTGTCCCTGGTGCCCCCAGCCCCGGGGGCCGCCGCGGGGACTCCCTCCTCCTCTGCCTCTCGGGCCTCAGCCTAGGGACCCCCGCAAGCCGGCGTCGTCTAGAGCCGCGCAGCGGGCGCAGTGAGGGGGCGGGGAGGGAGCCAGCGCCGGAATCACAAAGCAGCGAGCCCGGCCCGGAGGAGAAATTCTCGTAAAACGGACCCTCTAGCGGAAAAAGGAGGCTTTGCCCCACTCTCAATCGTCAAAGACCTCAAAGCAGCCCCGAATATCTCCTGCTAGAAGGAATGGTCTCCGACCACTGCTGAAAAACTGAGGCCAGAAGTCTGGGCTCCCGAGGGTAGCTGGGGGGAAGGGGTGCGAGTCCTTCTCGCCTGCCAGTTGTGCTCCTGCGCGTGCCGCGCGCGTGCCCTCCTGGTCCCAGGGCCTTGCCCGCACACACGACTCTGGCCTGCAGCCGGGACCCGGCGGAGAGGACGCCCAGGTGTGAGAAGGACACAGGTGTGGGGGCCCCAGGTGTGCTGGGGATCCAGGTGGTTTGGAGAACGAAGCTGAATGGTCCGAAGAGGGTCGCAAACACCGCCCAAGGCTTGCACCCTCTGCAAAGGGACCTAGGGCCCTGGAGCTCCGGGGAGGAGGGGCTGGCGCGGCCTGCCAGGTCCAGCTCGTTCCGGGAATTCCCGGCCGACCGGCCCCGGAGTGGGGGTGGGGAGGCGCCAGCGGGGAAGCAGGTCCGGCCAGCCCCTAGGGTTCCCGCTGGGCCGAAGTTTACACTCACCGTACGGCGCTAAGGGGAAACGGGCTCTAGGGGCTCTCCGGGTGGCCCGGCGGCTTCCCCTGACGGAATCTGGCCTCCGAGGGTGAGGGACAGAGCGTGTATGTTTGTGTGTATACGCTGCAAGGTGTAATGTGACACTGTTGGTGGAAGGTGTGTGTGACACCCAGTGTTAAGATGTGTGAAGCAGCAGATTCTGTGTTTGTGACCGTGAGGCGCTGCTGTGGGTGCCACTTGCTGTGTTAGGGCGTGTGCCGTCAAGGAGTGTGCTGAAACACTGGGTTCTGTGTTTATGGGTGCAGTCGAGGGGTGCAAGCGAGACATGTGTTGTGTACCTGTGTTCTGGCCAAGGAGTGTAACATAATTTATGTTAGGGTGTGTGCCTTAAAGGAATATGTGTGTGCGGGGCTGGGTTTTGAGTGTTCATCTGGCGAACTGTGGCCGTGACACTCGTATGTGAGGGCATGAGATTGCGTTTGTGTGTCCATGTCGCCGAACGTCACCCCCGGTTGTGTTTTGTTGCTTTGTATGGCCACGGGTTGTGTGTCCGTGCTGCTGAGCGTGCAGAAGCTGAAGCAGATTCTAAGCTACTGACGGTGCCCCAGTGGGCGCTGGTGTGCGGGAGGTATGCCTGTGTGCACATATGTATGTATGTGTGTACATATGTCCGTGGTCTGGCCCTCCGGGTGCCCGCGGGGAGCTGGAAGCGCCTGAGTGATCCGAGCTGGTCGCCCAACAAGTGTGTGTGTGTGTGTGTGTGTGTGTGTGTGTGTGCGCGCGCGCGCGCGCGCGTTGTGAATGAGGGTCCTTGCTTGCTACATCCTCGGGGACGGCCCCCCTTCGAACTGGGGGCTGCGGGCTTGCCCCAGGCCATCTCCATCCCTCGCGCGGCTGGAGCCCCCCTATCCCCGCAGCTCCAAGCGCTCCGGGGTGCAGGGCGCCCAGGCTGGAGCCCAGTCCAGCACCCGCTCTCCTCGCTCGGCTATTTGCGGCGGACCTTGGAGGCCAGGGTGCCCCAGCCGCAACCCCAACCGCCCCCACCTCAGCCCCGGCGCGCTGAGCACCGACCGGGCCCCCGTGGCCTCGCTCGGCCGAGCGCCCCTCCCTCGACTCCCGCCGGCCATGGCCGCTCCCGGCCGGGAGCCACCACCGCCTCCACCGCCACCGATCCTTACCCGCCTCTGGGCAGCGCAGGCCGCGGGCCCTGCAGTCCATGAGCCGCCACCGGCCCCGGCCCGGGCTGCGGCTCGGCACGGCACGGCTCTGGCTGGCGCTGCGGT